GAAATTGATATCTCTTTTCATTCGAGTTGTCAAAAGGAAAAGATATCGAACTAGGGTTCTACCGATATACCTAACTGATTTTTCCTCCTTCGCAGACAATTGCCGTCGAGGAACAACGGCGGAAACGTGACGATTGCGTGCGGCGGGGTTACATGCCATGGTTCAAAGGGGAATCGTTTAAATAACTCACTGGGAAATCTCTCGATACCGCCCCACAGTGGCCGTTTCACGCGCGAAAACGCTCCAGCCGTTCCGTGCCGTTTAGTTTACAAATACAAACCACGGGAAAAGTTCGATATTTCGGTGGTCGAACAGCCGCGTCCCGTTTACTTAGTTCCTGGGCCGATTCGAGTGCCACGAAACACGGGCGAAACAGGAAAAATTAGAGAATCGAAAAGCTTGCCACGAGCCCTCGAAACTGACATTTGAGGGACTCGTGAGACAGTTCATGGAACTCAACCCCTAAATCAAGGGGATTTTTTCCTATGAAAAAGGATTCTTTATGGAAAAGGTGCGTTCTCGTTCAATGCACTATAACAAAGATGTCATATGTTAATTCTTTTTTCTTTTGCAGTGGACCTCCCCAATCTCCAGGGGGTTGTGGGACCTCAGTTTGAGAAGCGCTGTCCAGAGGGTAGTTTGGGGGAGCGTTCGACGCGTCGGGAGGTCGGTTGAAAGCGGAAGCGAAATATCGAAGAGATTCGCGCGGAGGGCGCGAGAGGGCCAGGCATTTTTGAAAGGTTCGCGTGACCAGGTTGGTCGATGGGGTGGCGCCGAGGGAACACGGTCGGTGGAGAAGGTGGAGGAGGAAGAAGAAGAAGGAAGGTCGGTCCCTCTGCCTCCTCCTGGAGGCAGAACACGCCAGGTTGAACAGAGACGTAGCCAGGGGCCGAGAAAGAGAAAGAGAAAGAGGGTGCAGAGAGAGGGTGGGTAGGTGGTCGACGTTGGTTCTGGGGCCGCAGATAGAGAGAGAGCGTGCAGGGGAAGGCTCGCGGATCGATTCAGCCGCTCGAGTCGAGTTGAGACTATGCTTCGGGGCTGTACCGTGCTATGTGGCCCTCTCTACGTATGCGCCGTATCTTCTCTTGGCCGAAGTCGCCTCTTTCTCGTGTCGTCGTGTGTACTCTAAGGTTACGTGCGCGATACCACACGGAAACGTGTGTACACACGCCCGCGCGTGCCGAAAGAGCAACGGAGAGTTAGGATTATTGGACGGGACGGAATAACGAAACGGCACCGCGAAAATTTTCGAATTTTATCCAATCGTGGATCTTCGACTTTTGCGGGGGCGAATCTTCGTCGAGAATAAGTCGACACGTGTTCGATCATTTTTGCCTTTGGAACTTGTGGTCGATGACGGGAACGTTTCAAATTCGAAAAAGATAGACACCTCGTTTATTAGATTGGATTTTATGCATTTATGGCGTAGAAGAGTGCAAAAAGTATATGGTAAGCTTTTTCAAAGTACATATATGCACCTATGCAAAATGAAATATTTTACATTACCATAATTTATGAAATATATTCTACATACACCGCGTATGTTCTCCACGTTTGCATATGCCATAAATACGTAAAATCCGCGGCGCAGTAATTATTAATTTGTGTGCGTGTTGCACAACTCCAAACGAATTAACATACACGAAATATTTAAAAGTAAATCCCCCTTGTTCTCGGAGCCTTTTGTACGAAATACTACTTTAGAAACTTGGCGCAATTATTAAACCCCATCGTAGATGAACTGTCCAATAATCCGTATACTTAACGTAACGAGATGTTCCTATGTTCTATAATTATAAAATAATATCGATCGTGGGTGGATAACTCGAGTTCGCGCAGTCGAATCCGCGATCGTTTTTATCGTGGCAAAAAGGAAATAAAGAGAGCCGCGATCGCGAACAATTATTCGAGGAGAGGAGGATCGGCGCGACGAGAGAAAAAAGAACAAAGACAGAAGGGGAAAGCGAGAGGCGGTAAAAAATCTCGCTCTTCGGCTTTTATGGAGCTTAATTCGACGCCATTAAGTTTTAATTGGCCGCGTTTAATCGATCCGCCGTTTTAATGTCCCCTGTAACCGTCCCCGAAATATATAACGGCGCCGCGGCAAACCATAAACCCATATATCGTATGAATAACAATCGCTTGGGTCTCGATTTCACCGGTTTCAATTTGTATTCGTGTAAAAGCGGTACGAACTGTATCAACGTCCGGACAAGCTTCCGCTGTTCCACGATTTTTGATCCCAAGCCATTCACGAAACCAAAACTCGTCGAAATTTGGTCGGAAAATATGGTCGCGTGTCAAGTAATTTTACCTAAAGTCATCGGATCGGTAACGATGAATCACAAAGTGACATTAGCGATCGAAAGTGACTACAGAATTTTGTATGGACAGGTCTATTTTTGGACTCCTACGCCTGCACTTTGGCAAACAGTGCTCCGATACTCTTCCATGGAATCGACTGGGTTTCTGCTCGCATTTGCTGCGGCTCGACGGAGCACGAGAATGAAACGCGAGCAGCGAATGCGAGACAGGACCTCGGAGACGGTTTCCAACGCTGAGGATTGCGAAAGGACGAAGGAGAATCGCACGGTAACGTGGCCAGACGAAGAGGAACGAGGCCAAGGGATAAAGAGATGAGAGAGAGCGAGAGAGCGAGAGAGAGAGCGAGAGAGAGAGAGAGAGAGAGAGAGAGAGAGAGAGAGAGAGAGAGAG